CAGGAAGAGCACTGAATTTCAAACAAAAACAACAGAGAGCAAAACCCCAACCAACTAACCACTCTAAGCTGAAGAAGACCACGTTACCTCCTGTGTACTCGATTCAAGATGGCAGCTGTCCACAGGGATACACATATAGGTCTTGTTCTGTTATTAATCTCAACCAGTACAGACTCTGGTCTTGGGTTATTTTCTATTGAATGATACTGTTCTAAAATAAAATATATCAAAATTTCAGCAGATAAAGTCTTTTCCAGATAGTGACTGATCAACAAATGGAAGGGTAAAAAGGTATTCGTAAGCTTGTAAAATTCTTTTTTTGTTTTTCTACCGGGGATGGAACTCAGGAGCTGGAGCTTGCAAGGCAGGCGGTGGAAACACTGAGCTAAATCCCTGGCCCTAGCTTGTAAAATTCTTGAGGTTTTTGGGAGAGATGAGCCCTTTTATATGTTTACCAGAGCTGAAGAAGGTCCCTGCTTCTCAATATGTGCTTTATGTAAGGAAGGATGAGCAAGTGAGTGACAGCCGGACTGTGTGTATGTGGGTGTCTGAGTGTGTACGTGTAATAAAGATTTGTAACTAATAAACCAAACCAAAGCCAGAATTCCACATATCATGATAATTTGCCCAACCCCCCGTATCTGCCCTGGATCTCACAGTTGAAGAAACTGTAACTCCCTTTTAACTGTATGTGGTAACCACCTGTGATGGTTTAGCTCCAGAATGTCCGCCACGGCCTCTGCTCTCAGAGGTGGGGCTTCGGGAAGGTGACTGGATCCTGAGAGCACTGTGGCCGACTTGCTGTTAGGAGGTGGGGCCTGGTAGGAAGAGGTGGGTCTCTGGGGTGTGATGGACATGCCTCTCTGCTCCCTGGCCGCCATGATGTGAGCAGGTTTCCTCCACCCAAGACCCTTTCACTATTCTTTTTCTGCCTTGGAGCTGGCCGACTGCAGACTGTAACCATGAGCCCAAATAAACCTCTCTTCCTTTAAGGTGGATGTTGGGTATTGTGTCTCAGCAATAAGAAAGTGAATAAGACATCACGGCATGGTCTAGCACCGTTTAATGTCCTTCAGAAAGGCTCACCACTGGTTAACAGAATTAACTAACTTGAACTAGACTTGCAATGTGTACACAGATAAGTGAATGGCAACAATATTCATGACAATATAAGTACTTGTATAGACATTAAAACGATCATTTGTATACTATGTTAACATGTATTAGCTAATTTAATTTACACAGAAATCTAGATCACTAATTTTGATGATGAAGAAATTGAGATACAGAGTGTTCAGCATCTTGTTCAAGGTCACACAGCTGATAAGGAGATAAAAGAAACTGAAATTACTATCCTAGTTCATTTCGACCATCTTTCTAAGATCTGCCGGCCACTTACTGTATAGAGAGAGGACCTGGACTTACAGTTTCCAAAACCACCTCCTCAATCTCTGAGCTTTCATACAAGCTATTAATGAACTTGAACAAATCTTGTTCAATTTAAAAAAATCATAGTGTTTCAAAAATCAAACAACTGATATATCATCCGTTGGCAATCACAGCTCACTGGGAAGCTGGTATCCAATTGATTTCACACAAATGTATCTCTTCAAGATTCAGTTGTTATAGCTCATTAATTATCTTATTTGGTTCCTTACAGTGAACTCATAAAGAGAGGGATGTTTTTGCCCAAGGAATCAATCAGGTAGCTCTCCCCAAAAGACTTCTGTAGTAACATTTCCTGCCTTTTTCTGAATAGTCCTGATTTAATAAATTCCTATCATTCTATCTTACAAATTAGCAATCCAAATGTCTCGTAAATTTCAATATTTTATTGGCTAAATTCATTATCCTGTCAGAAAGAAACAGAAACCCTTTGCCTGGCCGTGTCTTTTCATGAAACAGTAAAATATGGTTACCATGGAACTGGAGACCTCCCTAACCCTTCGCATGGCTGTGGTACAGTGTAAGGGCACCGGCCTGTTTCTGCTAGCACGGAAGGAAATAGACACAAAGCAATAAGCAGCACCCAGTGAGAGTCTAGAAAGACAAAATGGGCTGGTTTTTCAGGTGGGAATCAAAACAGCAATTCTTTGGAGACACAGATAAAAAACCATTTTTAATCAATGTGCCTATTTCCATGCAAATAAAAAGAAAGCACAGGCATTCATCATTTTGTTTAATAACAACCATCACAGCCCTGAGAAATTGCTACTCATCCCGGGAAGACAGATATCATGTGCCATATTAATTTGTGTCTGTTTTCTGCTGAGCTGAGCCTGCCTGCCACTAGCTACACTGTTTCCTGGTGCGTTTTGCTTACTGCTGCGTTATAATAAATAGATGGGCTGCTTTGAGTTGTACTTACTGTTTATCTATGTGCCATTTATGGTCTCATTGAGGACTTCTCAGGTAAATGCTACGTTTGACTTTTCTCCCCAAATAAAAGATATTTTCTTTAAAAAAGAAGTGTATATATATATCTTATATATTTATTATACATGTAAAGAGAGACAATAAATTATGAAACTGAGTAAAAAGAATTAAGATGTGGTATGCACTTGTACCACGATGAAAGTAATTATTACGTACTGTAAACATGTACTAATAAAAATTTACGACATTAAAAAAATAAACTGAATCTCAGCAAATGTTTATTATCACACATCTGTGAACAAACCAGAACATCTTAAAGACAATTTAAATTAGTCTCACTTGAGTAATAAGGGAATGTCCTCGCTCTTTTGTGTGCGATAAACCAGTCAGTAATGATCTCTCAGTATTTATAAGGTCTTGGCAAAAATAAAAATGTACTGATGAGTCCAATGTCTGCTGCCCAAAGTCTGATATGTAGAGTAAGTCTTGAACTTCTTTTTTCATTGGGAAGGTAAAATCAGCTAAAATCAAATGGGCTTTCAACTAGGCCTTCTTTTTGGGGGGAGCAGTCAAACTTGGTGGCCCGAAGAGAAAAGATACAGAGGCCTTCAGGCCTGCACCTAAAGAGAAAAGGTTGGCAATCAGAACCACTTTCCTTTGTCCATTCGTGATCACTGGCCACTTATTTCCTCATTTATGCAGTGAGAGGGAAGGAAGAAAAGGAACCAGTTTCTTTAAAAAATAGCTTTCGATGCCACAAAGACGTGATATGCAGATAAGTTCTTTTAGTCTAAGCCCCATTGTGAACACTGCTTTAGGGGCTGAGGGAAGTGGATGGGGAGAGGAGATAGGAACAAATCAGGCTCAGAACACCTTGCATTCTGCATGCTTTGCCCTCTCTTTAAAGACTACCATCCATGCCTGGCCCCCAGGCAGTGCGAACCACAGACATGCATAACAGTCCGCGAGGTCAACCACTTGGCCAGCAACAGACCAGCGGAAGGGGAGAACACCCCCTGCCTTGCTGAAGCAGGAGCCCTCCAAACACTGCTCTCACCCCTCCTCCTTCTTATTGTTCACATTGCCTCTCTCAGGACATGGGCAGGGTCAGGCAGCTGCCGATGCAGAAGAAGAGATGGGAGCCTTTCACATAATGGAATTCACTCAAGCTTTGAGGGGTGAGGTGAGTGTATTTTGCATGTGGAAGACACATGGGTTTCCATGCCTAGAGAGTGGGCTGTGGTATTTCATTTCCAAAGATGGCTGATGCCAGTTCTCTTCCGGATGAGACGTCTCCCATCCTGGACTTTGAGTTGGTTTACCCAGTGGGACATGGTGGACACAACATTCTAGGATACCAGAGCCCAGGTCTCAGCCTCAGACCTTCTGCTTTTGCCCTCTCAGGATCCAACCAGAGTGCAAAGAGCACAAGCCAGTTTATGGGATGACAAGAGACATGCCGAGAGAGATCCAGCCACCCACAAGCAATCTGGTTTAAGATACCGGATGTGTGTGACCCATTGAGGCTCCTCTAGCCCCAGGCAAGACACCCCAACAAACACCATGTGGATCAGCTGAGTCCTCTCAGACAAGCCCTGCTCGAAATCATGAATCAATAAATGGATGTTAGTTTTTAACCCACTAAGTTTAGGGACGAGGCATTATGCAACAATAAACACCTGAACTGTTTAAATAAAAGTGGAAATGTGCTGAACATACTGCACTTGTACTAACTTTTGTAAATTTATTCAATTATTCTTTAGTATGAACTTTGTGGTTTTGTTTATTTTTATCTACCTTGTGATAACTTTTGACATTAAAACAATATAACTGAAGACTAGATTTCAAAGCACCCATAATTATGTAATGATTATAGGCTTACTGACCATACTTTTTGTATGCAAAGAGATATGATTTTACCCTTGCTCCAGAGAGGACATATAGGCTAGGGTTGATATGCTTGGACAGCTTTGTGCAGACTATCATGGTTGTACCAATATAAAGAAAAATACACTCAAAGCAATCATTTCTTAAACCCAAAAGACTTAATTCAGACATCATTTAAGTCAGGTAGTTTTCTAAAGGTTGTTCTCTGTTATAAGCACCTTTCTTTTTCCCACTCACCCAAATATGACAGCATTAAGGATCAACAACTACTTTGGGAAATTTGACTCTACTCTGTTAAAAAAAGGTGGCTCTGGGGCCTAAAGGTGAATCATGACACAGACTGACCAAATACACGTCCCACCAAGGAGTTGACAGAATTAGAACTGCACACACGCAGGCTGTGCAAGGCAGAACTCTGGGCCTTCCTGTTGACAGGTACTGTGGTGTGAATGAAACGCCGGAAGTCATGCAGCACAGGGATACTGTGTAGACAGCCTATTGAAGGCAGGAAAAGAGATGAGCTATGGTTTTGCCCTTGAAATCCTGGGGTGCTAGTAGGAGCTGAGTGACATATGCTGAACAACAGTGCATAAACATAAATGCAGTGATGTACATGTACTCTGGGTGAAGGTGGAATTTAAAAAATGAGCTGAGCTAGAGGCATGGAAGACAAGAATACTAAAGAGTGTAGAGTGCACATCAGTAAAATCATCACGCACATACAGGATGAAGCTTACCTGACATGCTGATGGATGAGTGTGGTTGAGATCCCAATGGGAAGACACTATGTCAACAGACTTTTTGGCCATGTTGAGTAAATTCATCCAGCCTTGGAAAAGTGGTAAGTGGAAAGGCGCATTTTCTGAATAGTTAAGGCCTTCAGGAATATTTTCCACCAGGGCAATTCTTAGAAAAGATTTTGAAAAAACAAACAAAAGCTAGTCAAATTTGAAGCCATCGATCTTTCTTCACATATGCATACAAAGACATCTGGAAAATATTCTTTTATCTTTCTGAATGTATACTTTGCTCACAATGTACATCTTTTTCCCACCAAAGCCCTCTTATGCTTCCACTATCCTAATCTGTGTTGAGAATTTATGCTATTTTTCCATAGTTAACACTTATTTTTCAGAAAATCATAGTATAGGTCCCCAACGTGCAGTTTCAAACCAGCCTTGAAAAAACCCAGAGCTACATGAACATCTTATTCTAGTAATTCTAGTAATATATTCCTAATTTGTCCCTGCAGCAATGCAATTATAAGGAATGCAGTTCTTGTGCACTACTTCTGCAAGCCACTTGAGACCACAAATTAAGTTTTGCACATCTTCAGTTTCTAATATGATATTGGGCATAGTTAGAATTCAGCAAATGTGATTATTACTGCTTAACACTTCTACTGATACTTCCCAGCCTAAGATGTAAAGTAACACTGACAAGAAAGTAATAAAAACTGCTTGGTGCAAGGTTTTCTTAAAATCAGGCAATAAGGGATGTATAAAATGACAGTAATAATCAAGCCCCAAATAAAACACAATCAGCAGTATTATAGTAAATTTTTTTCTTTCCATTTTTTTATATATTGGCAACATATCCACTGTGACTACCTCTCCTGGTGGTGTACCTGAGGCTGTTTTTTTTTTTTTTTTCACTTCTGAGTTAGGTGACACACAACTTCTTAATAAAAGAATGAATACAATTTTCCAGTTTAGCAAATTCTCGATTCCTTCTGCAATTCTTTATGGAGAAACCCCCAACTTTATGAAGATGTCTGTTAAGTGCTTCCAGAACAGGGGTCTATTTCATTCACAGCTGCAGGTCCCCAGTTAGACACACAGGTGGGGCAGAGGGAGTAGCTCAGTGGCAGAGGACATGCTTATGACACACAAGATCAAAACAACAACAAAACCCCACAATTGGAGCTCAATCCGTATACACAGAATTTTCAGCTTTCAACACAGATTTCAGAACTTCGCAAAAAAAACCCACAACTGTTATGCTTTTGAGACTTTTTTTAATTTAGCCAGCTTCAGAAACAAAATCAATACTAAAATGTACTTTTGTATTTGATAAACCTAGAATATTCCAGCCAGAATGAGGTTCCAGTGTGTGGGCCAGAGTCACTCACGTTTTTGGGATCCAATCATCCACTACCACAGGCAGGCTTCTTTAACGCTGGTTGATCCCTCGTAAGGACAGGGATCACAATACACAATTCAGAAATGGCTATGACAAATCTACCCTGTCCTCAGAGATTTATAATCTGTGGGTCAGCCTGCCTCACACATTCTTATTCAAACAGGAAGCAGACTCTAGTAAATTGTGAAATGAGAGTAAGAAGTCTAATTAAATGGATACCAGGAACATGGGCAGGAAGAAAAAAATCAATTCTGAATGGGGATATCTAGAATTGGAGGAAGTCTCCAAAATAGATTTTTATAAGAGTAAGCTGGAAGGGAAAGATACTTTAGGTAAAGTGAGGAGCTGCATCTATTTGTGAATTGGTAGCCAAGGTAAGTGAGGTAGGAGAGTTCTGGGAGGAGCTGGCATGGTGGAGAAAAGTGGCAGCATCTACTGGGCCAACACCGCAGAGGCTGTAAATCAGGAAGAGGAGTCTGGATTTAATTTTGATGCATGTGGCGGCAGCTACGTTACACAGGGTAACTATGGCAGGACATCTGCACACTGCTGGAATGGAGTAAAGAGAAAGTAGAAGATGACAAGTCTGAAAACAGGAGAGGCTGTTGAAATAGTTCTGGAAAGAAAAACAGGGAGTTTGCATTGGCTGAGTGGGTATCAAAAGAGGCACACAATGGAATTTTTAGAACCAAATCTCAAAGGTGTACTGGATTGATGTGTGTGAGGAGTAGGTGCAGGAGAAATGGTCAATGATGACTCAGATTTTCCTGCAATCAACATAGTGTCTCTGACCTGGGCTCTAGAACCACTTCTGGTGATCTCCATACTTGGATCCTTGCCCTTCTCCAAATCATTTTCCATCATAGTTGGATTAATCTTTAAAACATGTAAACCAAACACTCCTCCTAATTACCCTTTCTCTGGACTTCCCTACTTGTCCCCGGATGCCATTGTCCTCACCCCAGGCTAACAGGTTTGGAAAGTATTTCCAAGTCCATTTGCTTTTCTGTAACTTTACTGGACTCAAATACTCTCTGAGTTTTACACCATGGGCACACCTGACATTTTTGTCTGCCTTCTCTACTAGTCCTTCTATTTGTTTTTTTGTTTGTTTGTTTTGTTTTTTTTGGTACCAGGGATCGAACTTGGGTCCTTGTGCTTGCTAGGCAAGCGACAGAACCACTGAGCTAAATCCCTGGCCCTCTACTAGTCCTTCTAGATACTGGCATTTTAAGTGAATTTTCCCAATTCCAGGTTCTACACTGGTCATTGAGATTTCTCTCAGCAAACCCTCAAAATTCTAATTTAAATTACTTCCTCTGTTAGGTTTCCTTATGTCCCCAAAGTAGATGACATCTTCTTATTATCAACTCCCATAGCAACTTGCATTTCCCTTTCATCTTACTTATAACTCTTAAAATCACTTGTTCAAGATGCTTTCCTTGATGGACTGTAGGGTGTGTGGAGGCAGGAACCTGCTCCTTGGTCCAGGTTTGTATCCTTAGTGCCTAACACACGGCAGTGAAGGTGTCCAAAGAATATGTGTTTTGTTGTATTAAAATCTGAACAACTGGGAAGAGTGGGGGAGTGGGGGGGCTATTAAAGTTAACAAGGAATATGGGAAAGAATATAAATTGGGGATTAGGAGAGATTATCAATTGTGACCATTAATCCTCATATATCAACTTGAGTGTATTAAGAAATACCTAACAGATTGGTATAGTACAGTTCCCCGTGGGTCTGTGAATGACTGACTGTAGATGAGCAAACCGAGGAAAGAAGACCCACCCTGGATTTGGGTGGAACCAGCCAACAGGCTTATAGATTAGAAGGAATAAAAAGGGAAAGGAGAATGAAATGTTCTCATTTTGGAAGTTCCAATCGTCACCATTGCCTTTGGAAGTGAGTCTTGAGTTTCAGCCTTCCTATGTAGACTCACACCAGTGACTCTACTGTGAGCTTCCAGGCCTTTGACCTTGGACTGGTGCTGTATCTTCAACCTCTCTTGCTCTGCATCTTGTTCTTCCATCTTCTTGGGCTGAGGAGCTACTGGATCCCCCAGTTTTCCAGCACATAGACAGCCACTGTGGGTTATTCTGCCTCTGATCCTACAAACAGCCATTGTGGATCTCCCATCTATCCTGTAAGCGTACCTATAAATCTCTTTGCATTATTATTATTATTATTATATTATATTATATTATATTTGGTATCAGGGATCAAACTCGGGTCCTTGCGCTTGCGAGGCAGGGGGCAGAACCACTGAGCTAAATCCCCGGCCCCCTCTTTGCATTTTTATACATACATTTTTGAATGGTTTTATTCCTTTAGAGAACCCTAACTAATACATCAATGTAGAAAAGGTGAAAAGAAAATCAACCCACAGCCTAATATGGAGGAGTCCCTGGTTGGCAGAACGTGAAACAGACAAGAACATTCAGAAGGGACCATTTAAGAAGCAGGAGGACAAGAGAGGATGTGGAGAAAGCAGTGTTCTAGAAGTAAAGGTGAGAGAGGGTTAAAATCTACTTACTTCAAAAGCTTCAAAGGCAGTAGACAGAGGTTGAAGATAAAAATTCTATCCACATTTAAAGCCTAATTATCTGTTAAAAGAAGCTAGACATAGTATGAATAAATGACTCAAAATAATCAGCCATTTCAGTTTCCCCTACAATTGAATATATTTAAAAACAATCCAGCAACCAAAAAAAGAATCCCCTGAAAAAACGAAAATACAACAGCTGCCAAACAAACAGAACGGCCTAGTTTTCATCTTTCTTTGACATAAAAGACATACTGATAGAGGCATAAGGAAACTCAAGAAACCCAGAAAAATAGATTAAATAAGGGATATAGATAAGTATACAACTGTGGATGGCTCCATACCATCCCTTTTCATCTCCTTGGCTTCTGCTAGGCAAACAAATGAGTCAGGACTCTGAGCTCCTTGGAAATCTTTACACTAGATGGTTTTTTTTTTAATCCTTTTATTGGTACATTTTAGGTATACAATATAATGACATTCATCATTAGAGATATGCACCTTTACATAATCTCTCTTGGTTCTTATTTTTCCCCATTCCCCTGCCCTCCCTTCAACCCCTCCATCCTTCCCTATTTACAAAGACTTTGTTTCCATTTTTTCCTTTTCTCATATTAATTCCATTCCCTTCTTTCCTTTCCCCTACCCCTCCCACTTCTGCTTCCCCTTTGCCCCTTTTCTTCCTATTTCACGTTATCTATACCTTTTAGTCCTTATTTACACTTTCAGTTTCTCACACTAGAGAAACTATTCGGTCTTTACACATGTGTGTTTTGTTTATTTCACTTAAGAGTATCGCCTCAATGTGCAGCCTTTTAGCAATAAATGTCTCTAATTTCTCGTTTTACACTAGATGTTCTTAATCTGGGATCTCTGGGTTGAATGCATGGGTATCTACAAACCTAGATTTTTATTTTATTTTGCCTAATCTCTTATGAGTACAGGCAATAAACTGTACGAATATTAGCAGAATCTCATTTTTGGCACTAGTAAGATTTTTCATTTTTTTCCTGAAACAGGATGGCATCATTTACACTGACCTTAACAGTCTGTGGAGAAGAACTATACAGAAAAAGTAGGCAGCCATGTTTTATAGAAAGGACAGTGTTTCCATGGTGGTCTGGGACACTATCCACAGTCTCCATGTTGAAATACTTCAGCCTTCTCAATATAAGAAATGACAGCAGAGAATCAGGTGAATTTCAGAGTTAATACTTCTAGT